CTTGCCAAAGGCACATGTGCGTTTAGCGAAATTGGATGAGTTAAGAAGACGAGAAGAGAAAACAAAGCCGAAGAGCTATTGCCCATATCTGACACGGCCCATTATAATAAGGGATCACAATGTCACTTCATCAAAATTTTGCATTATAACATTATTGGAGTCAATCTCTGTTTGACCATAAACGCATATTTGTCTTGATTGATTATGTTGTTTCCAAGGTTTATGGTCGCAAGAAGCATATACAACTGAAATCCAAAATCAATTTGGGATTTTAGGGTTCTTAAATCCCAAAATCGATTTGGGAAAGAAGAAGGTACTGTAGCAAAAAATAAGTTCTGTTAGTCGGATTGACATCGTTAATATCGAGGCAGTAAAACCAACTCATTTTAAAAGTTCGAGTATATAAGAAACAATGTTAAATAGTTGGTGTATTTATTGGATAGCCAAAAAAATTAGGGTATTTTTTGCAGCAAATCGAATTAAGTTTGGGTATTTTTTGGGAATTTTTCCCTTAATTCTTACTTTTTTCTTAATTACTGTGCACTTTAAATTTTCGTGAGATTGATTCCTAAAATATTACAATTGATTCACTGTGCATTTACAACTTTATTTTGGTAGCCTTAGAGTAAAACCTAACTCGCATCACAACCTCACATAAAAAGTGAGTTCGATTACCGCTTGTGACTAAAACCGAGTTTACCTCGCTTTTATAGTGAGTATGAGCTCTAGCTCGAGACGTGTAAGCAAATTCTACTTCATAAATATTTATTACGTTCTTTAAGAAAAATTAGCCGAGTTCAATCTCACAACTCTAAAATTGAACGTCAGTTGTAACAAAAACATCACCTCAAAACTTTGAAATTGATAGTGAGATTTCAACCTTAACCAATTCACTAGTATCCATTTTTTTTATCAATACAATTTAATCGAAGAGGTAGAGACTAGTTATCGTTATCAGATTTGACAAAACATATCCGAACCATTTCAGCGAAAACTCGTCATCCAACGAGGTTTAGAAAAGTTCAAATAGTCAAATCTAATCAGTTAAATGTAGAGATAAATTACATATCCAACAAAGGCAAATGACATTATTTTTCAATTGTGAGAACACACATAGACACAAACTTTCGTATTTTAATTCGAATTCTCTAACTAAGAACACATGACTTATAAGTTTTTTTGTTGATA